TCCCCCTGCCTCATTCTCTCTCTCTCCCTGCCTCATTCTCTTCCATCCTCCATCCCCCCACCCCCTCCATCCCTACTTCATCTTTCCCTCCAAGCCCCCCTCCATATTACATCACCCATCATCATATCATCCAGCCCGTTAGAACACTTTATTGATCCCTACAAACATAATTCTGCCCCGTGCTGTTTGGTAACAAAGCTTAACAGTGTCATAAAAACAGCACGTACATAATTCATGCGTTCAGACATTACTTCACCAGACCTTGGTCGACACAAATCCATGATCGAAGTTAGAAGAAGAAAATCAATAGCCGTTGACTTTCTTTTTCACCTCTTTTGGGGCTTGATGCTACGGTAACTCTGGGAGTCTTTTTTTTAGTTTTAGAGTTTTACGGCACTTGCAACACAATAACGTCATATAAGTGCCGAAGATTAGAGGTGTTACAAGAGAGTAACAAACACAAAAAATGAAGGAGGAGAGATAAAGACGATAGATGTCTGATAGGGAAGAAGGAAGGAGCAAACCACACCAGAGCCTCTCCCAACCGCCCACCTTTCACCTTTTTGCGGGCTTGCTGCTAGAGCAATTCTGGACGTCCTACTGTTGCATTTACATTCGAAAATGGCTTAAAAGATGCCTATTCATCGTCGAGGAGATAAGTATGTATCTGTATTAGACAGGTTTTAGTGAGCGTTTTAGTTTTAGGGCGCATGCAACACAATTAGGTCATATGAGTGCTGAAGATCAGAGATGTTACAAGAGAGTAACAAACATACTTTTTCTTTTACTTTACTTTTTCCGATCCAGCGGCCATTTGAGTTCTCGCCCTTCGGCCTGTCGATATGGCAAAGAATTTACAGGTTTTTATCAGCAGCGGTTTGTCGTTTTATAGCGAGTATTTCTGATTTCTTAGTTTTTGAGAGAGTTTTACGGCACTTGCAACAGAATAAGGTCATAGAAGTGCTGAATATTAGAGGTATTACAAGAGAGAAACAAACATAAAACAGAAAGAGGGGAGATAAGGACGATAGATGTTTGATAGGAAAGAAGGAGCAAACCACACCAGAGCACCCACCAACCACCCACCGATAGTTACTTGATAGGAAAGAAGGAGCAAACCACACCAGAGCACACGCCAACCACCCACAAGAGAGGAAATGAGGAGCGGTTGTTTGTACAGGTGACTGTCTTATACAGGTGTAGCTGTGAGAGGAGGTTCAAATGTACATTACATTTTGTTTCATAACCAATGTCTTTCGGTTGCTGGTTTGTTTGTCTGTCTGTCTGTCTGTCTGTCTGTTCGTTTTTCGGAAGACGAGAGTGTGTGTCATTGTGGAAGTATCTCCGTTCACGAGGTCGGCTAAATGTATTCATCTATTTGTGAGTCAGAAGAGATCAAAATAAAGATCGAGGTCGTAGTCGTATTGTCGTGACGATGAGTAATATTTGGGGGGGCAAAGTGCGGTGTGCTCTGTCAACAACAACAACAACGACAACAACAGCAGCAGCAGCAGCAGCAGCAGCAGAAACAACAACAAAAAATAACAAACAGCTGCAGCAACAATAACAACAGCAACAACAACAACAAATAACAATAATAACAAACAACAACAACAACAATAACAAACTACTACTGCTACAACAACAACAACAACAACAACAACAACAACAACAGCAACAACAACAATGACAATGACGACACAATTACGAGAACAACGAAAATAACAGCAATAACAACAACTACAACAACAATGATAACATATTAATGACGACACAATTATGAAAACAACGAAAATAACAGCAACAGATACGACAATAACAACAATTATAGCAACATTGTATACAACAAAAACAACGATGACAATACAACCAACAACAACAATAACAAACAAAAATTAAGCTACAAAAAAACCCCCAAAAAAACGCAAAACAACCTCTGTCAAAAGAAGAAAAAAAAGAACACCGTTGGATTGCCACATAAAACGCGCATGAACGAGCAAATGAGGGAATGTAATATTGTCTGCAGAACAATAAACAGCAAAACAAAGGGCCGTATAACAAACCTGATCGATTTACCAGCGCAACGAACCAGTGACATCACTATATCACGCCAAAATAATATGAGCAACGAGTTTCAGGAGAGTGTGCTTTTTTTTCTACAAGGTCATTAGCATATTTAGTAAAGTAGATGTTTTAAGGCGCTCGCGACTGCATAAGGTCATATGAGCGCCAGAAGATTAGAGGTGTTGCAAAAGAGTAACAAACATTTTATAAAAGAAGGGGAGAGAAAAGGACGATAGATGTTTGATAGAAAAAAAGAAGCAAACCACACCAGAGCCCCCGCCAACCACCCACGTCATTAGCATAGCCGTTGTTAGAAAAAAAAATATTGTCAGCATTGAGATAATGCCAAATAATTCCAAACTTTGAACAAAGAGTATTATTTTGTTCAGTGTGGAGAAAGCAATGCAGTAGAATGCGCACTACAAACCTGGCCCGCACAAACCACATTGATTGCTATTCTATCTGGGAAGGCAATGCGCATCTTTAAAACGCCCAATCTCTCTCATGACTCACTGCAGAGATGATTACATAACACCATTGATTGCAGCACGTGTGCATGTATGTGAGTGTGCGTGTGTGTGCGTATGTGTGTGTGTGTGCGCGCGTGTGTGTGTGTGTGTGT